CTCTTTCTAGTAAAATAGAAATGTGTAAAGACACAAAGCAAAGTCAGAGATTCAGGAAGGGAAAAGTGTTTAGAAATACTGTTAGAAACTGAATTATGGTGTAAAACTGCACTCAAATTAATACCTTTGCAAGATTTTCTTTACATTAGACACATATGCATCTATTACACATAGTAATATGTATATACAACAAAATATTTTAACAGTAGCATCTTTTCTTTGATTTTTTTATACAATATTTTGAACATTTTGCAAATATTCAGTAAACAGAAATTTGTTTGAAATGCATACTTTTCATCAGGTGGCATAGAAACAGAAATAAAATTCCATATTCATTCATATATGGAACATTAGTCCATCACTGCATGGTATTACTAAAACATTGAAATTGCTATAAAAATTTGACAACTATTTTGATTCTTTTTTCTTAGTAAGGGCACTCCACTGTCATTACACATATCCTTAATGATATTATTGAGAAAACATAAATGTGATTTGCTCTGATTGTCAATGCTTTTAATTTGGATTCCTTTTTCTTTTTAAAATAGTGTTTCAAACCGAAAGAAATTACAAGAAAGTCTATTGTAAAAGAGAGGGGACAATCAAGGCAAAAAAAACCTGGTCACAAGATACTCACTCTGAAACTTTGTACAGTACACAATCCAAACATGAGGGAAAACCTTTCTCTGATAACTTTTCCAAATCAAGTTCTTACAAATGTTTCATCCATATATGCCAATTTACAAATGATTTTCATTAAGTCTCAGATGAACAACACACCACTTCTACATTTTAAAAATTTAGCGATCTTGTTCTCTCTTATCTAAAATGTAGGCATCCTCATGAGTCACTAGCAAAGGCTCTGGGAACCCAGTAGTTATTGGGCAGTGATGGCAAGATTCCCAGTGGTAAATAAAGACAGGTGATGATTTCCAAAGAACTAGTGAAAAGTATCCAATTAAAATGCAGAAGATGGACATGAAGAAAAACTGATAAGGCACATTTCAACTGTAAGTGTGTAAATGGAGATGAAGATAATGAAGCACTGAGAGGAAGGATGCTCATATTCTCCATTATCTGAAGGGTGTGCTGGAACACCTGTGTGAACCCAAGATAACATGGAATCCAGTGTATTTTCAGTATTCCAGATCAATCAGATAATCTCTGTCTCATTTCCTTCTCTCACCTACTGTTTCTCTCCCTTTCCCCCATATATGCTCATATATGATACTTACAGAAATAAGATAATCTCAACCATTGTTTAATACCTAAAAGATGGTAAAAACAGATTTTCTAGGATCAAAGTAAAGATGGAAGGCTATGAGCAACCATGAAATAGCATAAGCCAACACAGCATAGAGACTGATAGTACCATATCCTGTGTTCAGCACCTGAATCCAAACCCACAACTGCCACTTTGCAGCTTTGCAACGATTTTTCTTGTCAATAACCCTAACATTTTCATAGTTTCTAAAGATTTATGAGACTTATGTACCTAAAAACATAAATTATGAATTTTTCTCAACATTTTAACAGTACAAAATATTTTCATAATACTATAGTTTACTATGCATAAAGTTTTAAGACTTATGAATATTAGAGTTCTCCAGATGCTAAATATAATATTCAAACTTAGCAAATAAAATATCTTCAGTTTTGTCATCCACATTTGATTATGAAGTTTGGAATCTGAATTAGCTTCAATACTGCAGATTGAGTCTGAAAGGCAGAGGCTGCATACAGCCAAGAATTGTAGACTATATATTGTATAAACAGGCTTGTCAGTCACAAAAGGAAAGATCAGATTCTGTTTTATTTAGGTCTTAACTTACTGTCCCTAGGGACCAAATTGTCACAGAAATATGGAAGAGTTTGGAACTTCGGGCTAGAAATGCTCTAGAATTTGGTGAGCACAGGTTAATAGGCCATTCTGATAGAATTTGGGAAGAACAAAATGCTAAAAAACGATATAGGCAGAGAAGATTTTAGAGGCAAACAAAGACTCTATTGCTAACAGTTCTAGCACCATTCTGAGTTCCAGGACAGCTTGGGCTACAGGGAAACCCTGTCTCAAAAAGTCCAAAAAAAAAAAAAACCCAAAAACCACACACAAAAGAAATCCATATGCCAAAGTCAATGTAAAAACTAATAACATGAAAAATTTAAAAAATATGTCCCCACCAAGTACCAATAGTCCTGTAGAGGAGTACAATGAGAAAGCAGAGTACAGAAAGTTCAAAATAACCACTATAAGCACGATAAAAGAATACAATCAATTTAAAGAATATACAACAAAATCATCAAAGAACTTAAAGAAGATAAGGATAAACATCTGATAATTCATAAAAGACCTAGAAATGTTGACGAATACTGACTGTAATGAAGAAGGAAGTAAAACACTCAATAAGCCAAAGAGAAACAACAGGAGAAAGCGTCAACAATAGAATGAATATAATGGAAAACAGAAAATCAAAGCTGAAAGATAAAGTTGACCAATGAGAGCATTGAAGCAAAGATTATGCAATTTTGAAGAAAACACAGGAATGGAGTGTGCAGAAATGTATGACACCATACAAGGACCAAATTTACACATCATAGACATAAAGGAAAGAGAATAATATTGAGATAACAGTGTGGACCAGATCTTCAACCCGTCTTTTTGTTATCAGGAAGAAACACATCTCAGTTTTAAGGACAGGCACTATGTTAAGGGGAAAGGATGGAGAAAATATTCCAAGAAAATAGTATTAAGAAAAAAGCAGGAACTGTCATTCTAATATCTGACAAAATAGATTTCAAATTAAAACTAATCATAAGAGACAAAGATGGCCACTTCATTTTAATCAAAGGAATAATTAATCAAGAAGATATTACTATCATGAGCATATATGCACCAAACTCTGATGCACCCAGCTTCATAAAAACAATACTACAGGACTTTAAGACCCAGATTAACCCCAACTCATTAACAGTAGGGGACTTCATTACTGCACTGTC